ATGTGCTTTTTCATGTAACAGTAATATATACAAATTATTATTATTATTATTATTATTATTATTAGGGTCAGGTCCTCACATTGTAGCCCTGGTTGGCCTGGAATTTACCCTGTGGACATAGGTGGCCTCACATTCACAGAGATCTGCCTGCCTCTGTCTTCCTAGTGCTGGAATTAAAGGCAAGTGTCACCATGCCCAACTACAGATTATTTTTGCTTCGTTCAAATATAAATATTGGTGATTTTAAACAACTGGCATTTGGAATGTATAGAGTGATCATTTTTCTTAATAGTTATCTGAAGACCCATGCCATATGCTAAGTTAGTCCTTTTTTTGCTAAGACCTGGATTTGAATTTTGTGGCAAGATTGGTAGGATTTGGGAGTGATAGAACCACTGAGCCTTCCCATTTCCACCCCTATGTTGCTTGGTTTCTGTTTGCATATATATATTTTTTAAATTTTCTTTACTATTTTTATGTGCATGCGTGTATTGCTCGCATGTAGGTAAGTGCATCCGTGACATGCAATGCCCACGGACAGAAGAAGCTGTTGGATCCCCTGGAACTGGAGTTACAGACAGTTGTTAGCTGCCATGTAGGCACTGGGATACGAACCTGGGTCTTCTGCAAGAACAGCCAGTGTTTATAACCACTGAGCCATCTCTCCAGCCCTGTGTTTGCATGTATTTTTTTTTTTGTGAGGGAGTATGATTTTCTACTTTACAGTGTACAGTTACAGAAGAAAGATTCACATTTGTTGAGTTTGCATTTTTAATATTTGTACCTCATACTTCCTCAGAGGGGCTCTAAAGGAAAAAACAGGCTTTAGAATAGATTCTACCTTTCTATTTAGCATTTGAATATAATTGGGAAAAGTGTTTTAGCTCTGAACTTTTTTACTTGTTTAACTAAATGAGAATACCTTCTGCATTCCAGGGTGTTAATAAGAATTAAGTATGATCATATATGTGAAGCATCTAGCACTCTACTTACATGTAGGAGGGGCACAAGAAACTTTAGTCATTAGTAATAATATTCCCTTGCTGTTTGATGCTTTTCAGTGTAGCCAGAATCACCTTTTTGTTTCAATCCCATTAGTGACACAATGGAGAAACTGGATTGCTTTGTTAAAGGCCCTGTTCATATGATGGTTGGAAGCCTTGCTAACACCAACCACCTTTCAAGATGGTGGTCAAGCATGGTTCTTTCAGTATGGACAGATATGGGAGCATTAGGTAATACTGTATCTTTCCTTATTGATCACCTATAGCATAATTTTATTTGTGATTTATAAAAATGTGTAATAACAAAGTTTTTAATGTTTTGCACACACAAAAATCCTCCAATGAATGGGATTAAGTGTCTTCTTAATTCTCTTATCTGTACCTGTGCTAGCCCATCTTTTTTGCAATTTTTAGGCAGATTCACTGAGTATGTATCCTGATCACAGAAAGGGCAGGACATGTAAATGAATAAAATATCCTTTAAATGCAGGTCTTTGTTTCTTCTGCTGTTAGGTTTCCTGGGAAAGTATTTTTCCAACCTAGCACTAGGACAGTTTTTATATATATATGAGTCAGCATTCATCTTACAATCTACTCTTAAATATTAACAATTTTGCATCTTTTAAAAGAATAAAATCTTCCTTTTATTATTAAAAAATAAACATTTCAACCAAAGTAGCCATTAAACAATAGAAAGAGGTACATTAAGAAAACAGAAAGTAGGGGCCAGAGAGATGGCTGTTCTTGTAGATGACCTGGGTTTGAATCCTAACACCCACATGGCAGCTGACAGCCATCTGTAACTCCAGTTCCAGGAGCTCTGACACCCTCTTCTCTCCTATGTGGGCATTGCATGACACAGGTGCATTTACACACAGTTAACAGGCATAACATTCATACACATAAAATAAAAATAGAATAGAAGCCAGGTGTGGTGGTGCACGCCTTTAATCCCAGCACTCAGGAGGCAGAGGCAGGAGGAGCTCTGTGAGTTCAAGGCCAGCCTGGTCTACACAGTGAGTTCCAGGACAGCTGGGGCTACAGGGAGACCCTGTTTCAAAAAGTAGGCTCAGGGACCATTGTGGAAGAGGGGGCAGAAAGATTGTAAGAGCCAGAGGTGGTAGATGAATACAGGGAAACTGTTGTTTGAACACCACAGAGTAGTTGCACATATGCACACATAGCACTTATGACAGAATGCACAAGAGTTGTGCAGACCCAGCCTACACAGGCCTAACATGGATTAGGGAAGTGGGCAGGAAGCCTCAGCCCTAGCTGAGGATCTCTTGGCAACTGATGGTTGCTAGGAGAGGGAGTGTCAATTTTCCTTACTGGTATGACACCTGATAGGTTAATCAGAATCCAGGACATGGACCCACATCCAGGAGCACTTGGGAGGCACAGATTGGAATTGATAGGCCTTTTAAACAGACAAACAAATAAACAAACAAGAAAAGGACTGATAACAGTGGACAATATGAAATGGAGGAGGGTAGTGGGAAGGGAGTCTGAATGTGAAAAAATGGGAAAATTAAAAAAAAAAAAAGTAGAACCAAAGTCCAACCTAATATTTTCTATTTTAATTTTTGAGAAAGGGCCTCAGTGTGTATCCCCGGCTGGCCTAGAACTCATGCAGTTCATATGTAGACCATGCTGACCTGTAATTCACAAAGATCTGCCTGTCTCTGCCACTTGAGTGCTGGACTAATGGTGTGTATCACGTGTCCCACAACTGGAAGCAGATTTTTGGGGAAGTACTAGAGATTGAACCTAGGGCCTCCCTCATGCATGCTGGGCAAGTGTTCTGCCACTGAGTCACATTGCTAGTTCCTTAATTTTTTTTTTTTTTTTAAAGTAGGAGGCTTTATAGTGTGGCCAAGATGCCCTTCATCAAATAGTTACTGAATTGGCAGATATAACTGTTATTTTCTTGCTCTTAACGGGCCTTACAACTAATGAAGAAAAGCAATAATTAATTAGAAGTTTAGAGAGGATATTGCATTGGCTATTTTCTTCATTGCTGAGGCAAAGTACCTAACAGAAGCAACTCAAGGGAGGAAGGATTTACTTTCACTCAGGGTTTCAGTGTTTAGTCCATCGTGGTGGAGTTATGTGGCTGAACAGAGTAGTTTACACCATGGTGAGCCAGAAAGCAGAGAAAAGAGAGATACCAGTCCTCTTCTGGCTTCCTCCTTTTTCCATTTTGATTCCATTTGACCCCCTACCCCATGGGATGATGTCATCTAATTCAGAGTAGGTCTTCTTTCTTCAGGAAATCCTCTCAGGAAATACCCTCATA